CATTTTGCTAGTGTAACTTCCTTGTTCCTGCTAGCTTTTGCTTATGAACTTCTTTCATTTTGTACAGCTCCTCAGAGCCCCTTTTTCTATGCTAGACTGGATTGAATAAAGCCAATAAAGTTCTTAAAATTTACACAGTTGAATTTTCTTTTTTACCATGTTGTCCTTTTTCAGCAACTTGTTTGCTATCAGTCCATACAAACCCCATACCCTCAACTTCAGGGGCAGAGGATGGCTTATCCCTTGTGTGGTCCCCTCAGCACCCTTCCCAGTGGCTGGCTCATGTCTGGTATCACAGTTGTGCATTTCTAATGATGGGCACTGGTCCAGACTGGGACCACAACCATCCAGTCTTTTCCCTCCAGCAACTTGGCACAGGGGCTCCAGGGAGCTTAGACCCTGAGGGAAACAGTGTGTTGATTGATGTTGTCCTGTGTGACTGAGCAGAGGAGGAAGGAGAAGCCTTGAAAGGGAAATGGTCTGTCACTAAGAAAGAGTATTGGAAGGGAGGGGAATAGAGAGAGAACTAATATAATGAAGAGGACAGCTAATAGCAACAGAGCTGCTGTCAGAGGGATATCCCTTCCCAGTCATTCAAATCCACCTTCTATCAGAATCTGTATAAGATGTGAAAAGGGGAGGAAGAAATAGTCCCTGGGGCTGAGGAAACTGTCAGGACAACAACGTTACAGGCAAAACCACCAATCAAGGCCAAGGAGACCAGAGCTTAGCCCTGCTGTCCAGGGAGACCTAGTCAGACAGGCCACCACAGCCCTGACTCCACCATGGGCTGCAGGCTGCTCTGCTGTGTGGCCCTCTGTCTCCTGGGACCAGGTGAGTCTTGAGTTCAAATGGGCGGCCCTTGGACTTCAAGGTATTTTTCTGTGGTTACAGAAACATTCTTCCTTCTGTGCTTTGTCTGACTTGTGTCCCTTTCCCCCAACAGTCCCCATGGACACTGGAATTACTCAGACACCAAAATACCTTGTCATGGGAATAAGAAATAAGAAGTCTCTAAAATGTGAACATCATCTGGGACATAATTCTATGTATTGGTATAAACAGAGCTAGGAGAAGCCACTGGAACTCATGTTTGTCTACGACTATAAGAAACTTGTTGACAACAAGACTGTTCCAAATCTCTTCTTACCTGAATGTCCAGACAGCTCCCTCTTCTACCTTCATGTGGACACCCTGGAGCCAGAAGACTCCCCCGTGTATTTCTGTGCCAGCAGCAAAGACACAGCCATGCAGAGTCACCTTTTCCCTGTGCACAAATCTCCTGGGTGCAGCCAAGAAGCTGTGGGGGCAACCAAGGCTCAGTTCAACATTTCCTAAAGGGCCCTAGATAGAAATCTTTGACCATAATATTGCTGTCATTTCACTGGGTATGGCAATACTCATTTCCACGCCAAGATGCCCACAGACTCTGGCCTGGCTTTCTCTTAAGAAGTCTGTCCCTGCAGCTGAAAGACATGTTCTTCCAAGTTTCCTGCAATCGGCTCGTGCCTCTGGGAAATCTTCCATGAGACACTTTACACTCTGGCCACAGCAGTCTTACAATCCTCCTTCCAGTAGGTACCTTTCTCTGACTTCTCCTTCCCTCCAAGTTAGACCCTGGACCTCAGCCCTGATCCCAGCTCCAAACACTCTCAGATCTTTTTCAAAACACCTCCTCCCCTCATCGAGTGCTCTGTCTGTTGCTCCCATTGAGGACGATAATCCCCTCACCTGGTTTGTGTCACTGTTCTCTGGTTCACTCTCTCTGCTCCTTCAGGGTCCCAGCTCTTCAATGGCTTCTCTTCCACTTGAGATATCACACTTTCAGGCTTGATTCTTTTTCATCTGTTTCTTTAATCCTAATTCTTCAGGTCTTCACATCCTGCCTTATCATCAGAGTCTGATGCCCTTGGATCGTTGCTCACAACAGTCAGTGAGAAGTGACGGCTTCCTGACATTTCAGAGCAGCACTTTGTACTAAGGACCATCTTTGCTGAACTCTATGTCTTCCCACATTGCTCCTGTACTGGTCCTAGGTCCTGCACACACCAGCAGACCCCAAAGGCTGAGCAGAGCCCTGTGTCCTTGGGTGAGTCTTCACTGACAGACAGGCTCCCTCCTTTCCCACGTAGAGGGGCCTCCAGGAGAATGGAGACTCCTAACACATTTCAAACTACGATACAGCTGCCAACTCAACAGATGTGGCAACTCTCTCTTCTGTTCACATCTAGAATGTGAGTTTTCTTTTACCGGAGTGTGACTTTGCCCTGTTAACTGTTTTAAAGATAAACACATCTGGGTCTAGGATTTTTTTAATGGCTTTTTTATCATGAAATAAACAAGCCTGCTGTAAAGTGGATCATTTGATTTAAGGTTTCACAGGATCCTCTAAACAAAAACCTGTTCCCCCACAAGTCACACCCTACAGAGGACCAGGGGACAAGAACACAGTCCTGTGAGGAGGTGTGCTGCCTGGGACTCTCCAGGTCCCACAGTCTCTGAGCCTCTCTTTTCAGGAACCTAGGAGCCCCTGCTGTTACAGCTGTTACCACCCATGGTCAGGCAGCACTGAATTTTGAGGGATCAGAGGAGGGACTTCCAGGCAAGCATCCTTGGGCTGGAGCCAGCTGCAAAGGCCAGTAGGAGACCCAGCCTGTAGGAAACAGGTTTGAGAAATATGTGTCTCTCTACCTTCACCAAAGTTATTATTCCTTAATCTGGCTTGTCTGTTCTCTGACTTCTCTCTTTTCCACTTAAGGCTAGACCCTGAGCCCTAGCCCTGATCAAAGCTCCAAATCTACAGACACTTGCTCTGAACCCCACAGGCAGCCAACAGGTCCCTGCTCCCAATGGTTCAAAGCCAGCGCACACGGGGTTCGGTACTTACTTTCTCATCCACTCTCCTTCCTTTGCACTGAAATGTCCTTTTAGGATTCAGGTCTCAGCTCCTCACTGGATTTCGTCTCTACTCTGACACTTGTACGGTTATTTTCGTTTTTCCATTGGTCTCTTTATTCCCAATGTTTAAATCATGAGGCTCAAAACTATTAATCACAGAGTCAATACCTCTGGATTGTGACTCTGAATTGGTGTTTAGAAAGGGGAGTGCGTCCTGCTGTCTGTTCAAGTCTTCATACAAAGACTAGCTGTCCTGAAGCCCGTTTTCTCCAAGGGTCCCTCTTGGGGATGTAGTATTTCACTCAGGGCCTGTGGGCCTGCATGCTCTAAGAAACATGGGGGCCTGAACCTGGGGGCATCATGTTTCTGCATGGGCACTAAGGCTTCGAACTCTCTCCCGTGGGGGTGCTCCTGGGTCTGTGGATGCTGCCTGAGACTGTGAGCCACAGAGTCTCCTCCCTTGGACTGCTAAGGACCAGATGCCCCACTGGGAGATGCTCAGCCCAGCCCTGACCCTGCCGTGGACAGCAGGCTCTTCTGCTGGTGATCTTTGGTCTCCTGGGAGTCGGGGAGTCCTGGAGTGCTTGGGGAATTCTCATCTTGTTCCCTTTACCTAAGGCCAGTTCTAAACATTGCCCCATTATCTTCTGGCCTCTGTCTCCTCCCACAGGACACAGGGAACCTGGAGTCAGCCACACTCCTAACCATATTTCACAGAGATGGGTCAGGGTGTAGCTCTGAAGTGTGACCCCATTTCTAGTCATTTGTACTTCCCTTGGTAGCGACAGACCCCGGAAAAGGTAGTGGAGTTTCTGACTTCCATCCATAACAAGTTTCCTTCAGAGAAGGCAGACTTTTTGAAAGATCGATTCTCAGCTGAGATGCCTGAGGGATCGTACTTCACTCTGAAGATCCAGCCTGCACAGCTGGGAGACTCAGCAGTGTACCTCTGTGCCAGCAGCTTAGCCACAGCCTTGCAAATGTGCTTCTTACTTTTGCACAAACTTCTCTGCTTCTCTGCTCTCCCCAGGCTCTCAGTAGCCCTTGCGTGCCTGAGAGGGGTGAGGGTTGTGTGGTTTTGGCTGCAGCTCTTCCCAGTAGCAGAGTTTTAAGTTTAACTTTAATTTGCGGAATAGGAAATGTTGCACAGGGATATCTGGGCCTGTGGTATTCGGGAAAGGTTCTCAGGAACTACAGAATGTGGCTGTGGACACCAAGGATGGAACAAATGTAGCCAATGAGTGACCAGGGGAGCCTAGAGAGGAACTTTGTATCCTCTCCTGGTCTCTATTTTTGTTGTTTTCTATTTAGCAAAATATGCCTTCCATCTTTGACTGGAGACTGGCTTACTGGAGAGGAGAGGAGGGACATGCATGAGGATACTCAGGATCTTCAACTGGGAACTTTTCAGAAGGTGAGGAAACTCAACACCAGAGCTTGGGAAAGGAATATTCTGGAACAGTAGATGGCAGAGGCAGGAGCACCTCAAGATTCTGTTATCCAGGACAAAGATATTCTTTGGGGAACAATTGTTGCTCATGTGAGAGTGAGCTGATGCTCTTGGAGTGCAGCTGTAATGCCAACAGAGATGCAGGCCAAGAAGAGGGTGACCACAGCAGGACAGATTGGGACAGAGCAGATGCCCACAGAGCATCACATGGCAGCAAGGAGTGAACTGTTCAATCTCAGCACAATGTGTGGAAACAGGACTGACTTCTCAGAAGGTAAGACCTTAGGGCTCTTGAACAAGTGGCTGGAGAGATGGTTAGGGACTGCTTCGCAAGGGAGATACAGGATTTCCTATTTCAGCAGTCCCCCTTATCCATGGTTTTGCTTTCCACAGTCTCACTTATCCACGATCAACTGCAGTCCAAAAATATCCAATGGAAAATTCCAGAAATAAACAATTCATAAGGTTTAAATTGTCACTGTTTTGAGTAGTGTGATGAAACCAGGGCCATTTCCCTCTGTCCTGCCCAGAATATGATTCATCCCTTTGTCCAGTGTGTCCATGCTGTACAGGCTACTGCCCATTAGCCACCTAATAGCCCTCTGGGTTATCATATTGTTTCAGTATCAAGTTCGACATAGGGTTGGGTACTATCCGCGGTTTCAGACATCCACTGGGGTTCTTGGAACCTACGTCCCATGGATAAGGGGGAACTTCTGTAATAAGGCAGGTAAACCTCAAGTATTCAATTAGAAATAAATTGGTATTGGTGTCGTAGGCTAGTTGAACATATTATATTGGTTATACACCTATTTATTCATTCATTCACTAATTCATTCATTCATTCTTTAGACAGAAGATACCTTACCCCAGGACGTGGAAAACAGGGTTAGTGCACCGCAGGGACCCGTGGGTCTCAGAGGAAGAATGAATCACAGAATCATATATGATGCAAGGATCAGCCTACCTGAGTCCAAGAACTCTCCTTCACGCCATGAAATCGCCAACTCCTCTAGAAAGGGTGTGCTGGGGCCACTAAGACAGAATCACCATAGAGAGAACATGCAAAAATAGGAGGAGGTGTATATTCTTGTATTTTTAGGGAGACCATATGATTTATCATTCAAAGTGGGACACCTTGGGGAGTGAAAGGGGTGCTGATAATAATTACACTGGGACAACAAACAAAAAGCGGAACATGTGTTTACTCCACCTGTGTCCCATATGTGGGATTCATCTCGGAGTCCTGAGCAGGAAGAAGCTTCAGTCTTGGGGAAAACAGCTGTAGGGGATGAGAGAAATGGCTGCTAAGAGCTGTGGCAACAGCGGCTCACGAAGTTTTACAGGGGGATTTCCCTGACGGAGTGGCCCTGAGTGAAAGATCATCATCCCTTCTCCCTGCAGGAACCACTAAGGGCTGACTGAGCACACAGGCAGAGCCCTGCACTAGTGGTTACATATGCACAGAACAGGGTACCGGGGACAGTATATGGTGTTAAGCGTTCCCCTGTCTTCCCAATCCTACCCCTGGAAGCAGCAGGAGAGGCCAGTTTCCCAGGCAGCTGGGAAGAAAGGCAAGTGTCTGAGGCAACAGGCAGATGGTGACATTCATGAGTGGATTCCTGCGGGGTTCAGCCTAAGGCAGGAGGTGATTCAGGAGCAATAAACATCCTGGGGCTTCCTAGAATCACATAGGGAATCAAGCCCTGGGGCCAGGCTGGACGTCCTGGTAGTGCTGAGATGTCAGGGCTCAGAATGAGCACATTTTGGATATCCACGAATATGTGAGCTTCTTTTGTGACTACGGTGTAGGGAGCTCTGTGAACATCTGATAACATGTATATTTCACAAGTAATTTTAGAAAGAACCCTGTTTGGAACAAGGTTATAAAATATTAATGGTTGTTGATTCTGGATAGTGGATTACATTTTTTATTACAGGCAGTGAAAATCAAAATATTAAAAGTTAATTATATGCATTTTGTCAAATG